TTTCTTTTCTTTTATCAGACAAAACATTTTATGTGAAGATTTCCTCGTCTTTGCTTCTCTACAGCAAATCAAATAATCCAAAGTATTCAGATTACATTACTCACTTTAAGTAATTTAATGGATTCCGTTACAAACTACATTTTGATGTATGTAATCTGTAATCTGTAGGGGAATACATTTTAAAAGTCACCTTCCCAACACTGACTATATATATTTTTTATACTCTGTATTTTTCTGTGTATTGGTTGTTGAGGATTGTACTATTCTGCCCTGCAAAGGCAAAAGGCCGTAACATCATGTTTGGTCAAACAGGAGTTCATGTCATTTTGTTTGTATTTGAGATCTAGCTCCTTTATCATGTGAATAAATATTGTGAAAAATATTGAGCTCGAAACTGACCTTTGATCCTTATATGTTATTTACATTTACAAATGGAAAAGGTAGTAACTAACACTGTTACTTTTGTCTTTGCACGACTCCTTATTTTAGCTCATGATACAAAGGCAGAGAACAGGAACGGACAAATAAGTGTCAAAGGTCAATTTCAAGCTCAATATTTTTCGCATACAAATATTTCTTCATTATAGCAACTAATTGTAAAATTTTGGGAGCCGTACCTGTTATACTTTTGTTATACAAAAAAATTTCTCAGTTTTCACATTCTGGCGAGTTAAGCTCTTTTGTCTTTGTAGGGCAGCATTTATATCTTGTATTATATCTTATCTTAAATAGCTTGTAACTAAAATCTGTTGGGCCTACATGTCCCATCATGCACCAGGGGACTGTGGGCCTACTCCTCTTACTTTAAATCTGCACTGTGATAACCATCTCGAGTTTGCCCTGATTTAACTTTATCTGCCATGTGGTATTAAAGGCTTTTCATTATTTTGTATTTTTTGAGTGCCTCTGCTTTTTGAACTTTGTGTATGATATTAAACATTTTACTCTTCATGGAGACAAAACTAGAGGAAGTTACAGGTCAGATCTGTGGAGAGTAGGGATGTCATGATATCCAAATCTCTCGGTACGATATTATCACGATATGCCTCTCACGGTACGATAATTACTGTAATATTTTGGAGAGGTTAACAGAATTGTAAATACGTAATTTTTTCCTTTTTAAAAACCTTGACCAGTCTTCAGTGTGGATCATTATCATCATATTCTAAAGAAATAAGATTTAAAGTGCTTAAAAACAGTTATTTTACTATGTATTAAAGTAAGTAAAGGATCATGGCCTATGCAGTTCCCCTATTTTTAATACTTTTAAGTGAAAAACCTTGCAATTCGATTTATTCTGATGGATCACGAGAGTTCTGATGATACGATATCTCGATATTTTGGCTATTGTTACATCCCTAGTGGAGACAGTCAAAATGCCTGTTTTTCTACATATTTTTGAGCTATAAAACCGCCTGTAATTGAATAAATGTAAGGTAGAGCTGTTTAAAGTCATACTGTGGAACATTCCAGGCAGAGCAATGACATAACCATGGAAACAAGCAGGTGAGGGACCCACAAACAAAAAGTTACGGCATTAAATAGTAAATAGTAATAGTAAATGTTAGAAAGTCATGGTTTCTGTGTTGTAATTAAAACAAGGACGTGGTATTGACGGTCCAACCCGACACTGACACATGAGAAGAGCCTCACGAGCAAAGTCCACCCTCGGCTCTTTCCTTTCTGGCAGATGCTCGTCACTGTTTGCCTTGAATGCTATGGGTATTTTATTTGCATGAGTCAACCTTGTGGAAAATCCATAACTCATTTGCAAGGCCCTTACAACACACAGGCGTCAACTGCAAAAGCTCCCGGTGACTTCCAAACAGCTGTGCGGGGCTCCAGCTCTGCCCGCGCTGGTGAAGTGATAATAAGAGTATGGATTACCTGATTAATCTGTGCTCCCTTTTTCAATTGACAGTGGTTTAATGGTTTATGTAAGTTTAGTTACATAAGTTGAGCAAAGTCAAAAACTAAAAGATGAATCGCAATTGAAATCACAATTTGAGTGGATGTAAAGGACGTTTGGAAACAATCCGTGTATCATCCGTTCATTCATTTTTTAATATAAAACCAAAAATAAGAAAACGGACTTTTGCACCGCATACAGACTGAACCAGGACTGAACCAGGACTAAATCAGGACTAAACTTTTCAGACCTGGTCTGGCCTTGGTCTCGGTCCTGGTCTGGTCCTGGTCTGGTCCCAGTCTCAGTCTCAGTCCTGGTCTCAGTCCTGGTCTCAGTCCTGGTCTTGTCCCGGTCCAGTCCCGGTCTGTTATCAGTCTTAGTCCTGGTCTGGTCCCAGTCTCAGTACCGGATCTAGTCCTGGTCTGGTCCTGGTCTCAATCACGGTCTGGTCCTGGTCTGGTCTTGGTCTCAGTCCCAGTCTCAGTCCTGTTCCTGGTCTCAGTCCTGGTCTCAGTCCTGGTCTGGTCCTGGTCTCAGGCCGGGTCTCAATCCCTTTCTCAGTCCTGGTCCTGGTCCTGGTCCTGGACTCAGTCCTGGTCTTCTCCCAGTCTAAGTCCTGGTCTCAGTCCTAGTCTAGTTCCGGTCTGGTCCTGGACCTGGTTCAGTCCTGGTTCAGTCCGGCATCGCAGTTTAAGTCACGTAAACGGCCGTTATCCTTTTTTTTTCCATTATTAATTTAAACACAAAATCGAAAATTGAAAAAACGAATCATTATCTGTTTTTTCATTTTGGTTTTGGAGACAAATAATAAAGAAGACTGTTGTTTTTTCATTTTCTTATTTTTGGTTTTACATTGAAAAACAAATGAACGAATGATACATGGATTGTACACATGTGAATGACGATTTCCGGTGTAGTTACCGACACTGGCATGTGATAAAACTGGATTTTTTTTTTTATTTTGTATTAAGTTATGACAAATTATAATACACTAATATACAAGAAAAAAGAAAGCATACAATGAAAATTAGATGAAGAACACTGCATCGTTTTCTCAGTTTTCCTAGATTTTGTCAGAGTTACTACCACCATCAGAGCCCAAAGGAAGTCGCCGTCCGGTTTTGTGACAAACACGTGAAAAGAGCCCATTAGTAAATCTCAAAGGCTGTAATTTTTTGTACCATTTGAGAACTATAATTTCCTCCACAAACAACATAAAACTGCCGTGCGATACGACTGCTGCTATATGATTCTTTTATTATTTGTCCGTTCATATTTCAGTCTGTATGTCATTTCCCCTGGAAGTTTGGATTTAAAGGTGCATTGTGTAACTTTTCTGGTGGAGGGTCTGTCATTTGCTTGTTTCTATGGATACGTCATTGCTCTCCAGTATGACATTAAACATATTTACCTTACATTTATTCAATTACAGGTGGTTTTATAGCTCAAAAATACCTATAAAAACACTCATTCTGACTGTGAGCGGGGCTGCCTTTCCACAGATCTGACTTGTAACTTGGTCTTGTTTGGTTTCCATAGTGATAGAAAGGTCTGTGGAACATTCCGGACAAAGCAATAAGCATTTGATGGACCAGAAAAGTCACACAATGCACCTTTAAAATAAAAAACTTTCAACAAAATCGTATAAATTAAAACGACGATGAAAGACGATGAAATTATTCTATGAACATTCTTCTTTCTTTTTAAGTATTTATGTTAAAAAAAATGACTTTTTTTGTGTAGATGGATGGCTATAAATTAACTTTGTTCAATCCTAACTGTGAGGCTGCACTTTTGTTGTTTTGTTTTTGGTTTCATATACAATTTTTTGGGCGTATATTATGTGTTTATTGCTTTGATAATGCTCAAAAACGAAATAAAAACATTGCAAAATTACACAATCGCACAACGCTTGACAGAAAACAAAACCCCATGCACCTGTATTACTGAGCCAGAAACAAATTTATCCTTTTGAAATCTTGTATTTCACCAGAGCTCATCCTTATATCGCTCTCTATCATCATTCCCATTACCAAACGAGGGTCACCGCAGTCTGACTTCAGCATGCCGAGGCTCAGGGATAATTTTCTAGTCAAAGTCACTCCCTTTTTCCCCCCTCATCTGCTGCCAGGAGGAAATGAACAGTTGATCTCTTCCACTGGTCACTTCAGTAGAAAACAAACAGGAGCACATTAAGCCTGCGTGCTGACCTACAGGCGAAGAGCCACAGAGGACAACTTCTTCTGTTTACTTCAGGATGAGCTATTTAAACTGGTACAACAGCACTTCCCCTCTGACACCTCCCGCCCCCTCGCACACGGAGAGAGCTTAATCCAGGATGTTGGTGTTGTAAATTCCAAAACTAAATTCTTACATGGTTACACATTTTTAGGCTTTTCATAAATAACATAAGCGCTAAGAGTACCAGTCTTTCTATCAACAGATTCTACTAAACGTCTCCCACAGCTCGTCCAGTGCACAGAGCTCCAACACCTGCCAGGCGGACACTTGTCCACAGTGTCCTCACACACCTGTTCAGACCCACATCAGGCCCAGACCCAAACAAAGATCCTCTCTGTCCGACACGGCTGTGAGCGCTCACATGGAGCTGTTTGCTGAGAGCTAAATATGACTGTTAGAGAAACAGAGGGAGGAGCATAGGTCTGCCACAGAGTCATCTGGTTCTAATGCCCATCCCGCTGGTGTGGATTACAGGCACATATAACAGCAGAACTCCAGCTGACCCTCATCTATATCCTCAGGGGAAATGGGAGCCTGTGATGGGGGCTGAGGTCCGGGGGCCTGGGGAGAACAGGGGCCAACAGAAGCCTGTGGGCTCACTGCCGCTCCACTGTACAGTCTGAATTAATTAGAACCTCCACAAACCACAGCAACAATGTGGTTACAGGATTTAAGCCCTATTCATTCACCGCCCTCCGTCTAACAAAAACACTGTGATGCCTCATGGACAATTCTCTGAAATCTCTTCTATAACATAAGGAAAACCTTAACAAGAAAATCTCTGCAAACGTTTCACATAAAAGCCACAGATTAAACAGAATGATATAAGTGATAAAGAGTTCAGTCTTACCTGTAGTATCTGGACTGGAGATAGGTGGAGCACACCGCTTTGGACACGTGGCTGGCTGAGCCGAAGTCAATGACCTTCACTCTGTAGGGCTGTCTGGACGGGTCCACCAGCATGATGTTCTCTGGCTTCAGGTCAGCGTGGATCAGTCCCAGACTCTTGAGCTTCATGAGCGCTGTGGCCACCTGCTGCAGCACAGGCCTGATGTACTTCAGAGGCAGAGGGCTGAACTTGTTCTGTTTGAGGAAGTCGTACAGATTCTGCTCCAGCATCTCAAACACCAGGCACGTGTGGTTCTTGTGCTGGAAGCACTCGTAGGCCCTCACAAAGTTGTAGTCGTCTGCGCTCTCAGTACTCAGACGGGCCAGGATACTGACCTCGATCTGGCCCTGCCGTGCGTACGACGGATGGTTCTTCAGGATTTTGATTGCAACGATCTCATTGGTGCCCCTCTTCCAACACTTGACCACCTGTCCAAACGTGCCTCGCCCCAAGAACTCCAACACCTCATATGTGTTGGTCATTGAGCAGAGCACTTCGTGCTGCACCAGCTGGTAGTCTCCTTCATTGTTGGAGCCACTGTTCTTGGAGGTGGCCGTGGAGGTGGCAGTGGCCGCTGTGGCCACAGTGGCTCCACTGGCTGCTCCGTTGTGTATCATGGGTGGGCCGTGCTCCTCGATGATCTGCACACTGCTGTTGTTGTCTAGCTCCTCGCTCTTGCGTTTAAGCCCACATCTCTGGTAGGTGTCTAAGAGACTGACAGTGCTGCGCCTGGTCAGGTTGTGGAGTCCACTTCCTGCCCCCGTGCTGCTGTTGCTGCTGCTTCCTCCGCCCCCGCTGCCCAGGAGAGAGCCCACTGCCCCAGAGGTGCTGCTGGCCGAGGCCACCACGATGTGGCCCGCGCTGGCAGGAAAGATGAGCGCCTGTTCGTAGGGCAGAGTGCCCAGGGGCCCACTGGTGGCAGACACGTTCTTACTGCTGTTGTGGCTGTAGACTTTGCTGTGCGTGCCGTACCCTGTCATATCCCAGTTACAACTTTGCTCCACCTTCAGTTTCTTTACGCTAAAGAAGGCACTTGACTGGAGAGTGTGGGGGGAGAAGACTTGCACTTGCGAGGCCATACCTGTGACAGAGGGAGAGGGGAGGGGCAGGGGCAAAATGAAAGTGAGAGGTTAGGAATCTGAGAGTGTCTGAAACATGAGTGACGAGCTTTAAATAAAGACAGCGTGGGTTATTAACCTCCTGAACTCTATAACTTTACTGTAAAAAGAAGAATTCCATAAACTGTCACGACATGTTTGCAGAAGTATCATTTCTATGCTTCAGTTTTGTTGTAAAACAAATTTAACCCTGACAATGCATGATTTGATCCTCTTACAAAAGGCAGTGTTTTGCAGACTGAGTGGTGCTTATGCAGATACTCGTTCATGCACAGGAAATGCCATTTCCCTTCTGTTCCCATCTGCACTCACACACAGGCTGAAGGAAAACTACAAGAATACTGATGCGCCGGACACTCCTCGGAGACACACAACAAAACAGTGGCGCAGAAAAATCATGAAGAACAATTCCATTTCAATTACAGGGTTTCCTCTCTGTATATTCTATTGTAACTGCGCTTGCGTTTACTGGTGTGGCTAATTAGTGATTTTGGGGAAGGTGTTGTAGGATTGTTAATGTAAGTGACGAAGAGAACTGCAGAGGGGCAGTGAACTCCCCTCAACCACAAATCCTGAAGACAACAAAACAAAAGCAAAACTGCAGCAGTGTGCGGAGCTCCTGGGAACAGACTGCAACAGCTTCTCTGAGCAAACACCGGCCCAAAATAGTCCCTCTCTTTATCTGGCTCTTTGCAAAAACACACTTGTTTATAGCGCTGAAATGATTATTACAGCACAAAGCAGATTATATGAGACTTGTGCTAATTGTATGTTTAAACAGTTTTCAGTAAAGCCAAAATGGATTTACTACTAACAAACAAAGAGCTGCCACCTGGTTTCTCCAATGCCCACACGCAAAATTAAGCCTCGCTGAGCACGGACTGTTAGCTGTGATTAAAAGCTACACTGTGGAACTTTTTGTGCTTGTCTCCAGGGAGATGTTAGTGCTTAGTTGGAAAGTTCCATAATACATAATTAAACTTAGGTCCGTGGATGCAGTCCAAGTTACAGGTTATGAGGTTACAAGTTCACTCCCAGTAAAAATGCAAGTTGTCGAGGTGCTTCTGAGCAACAAAATCACCTGTAACTGAATAAATTAGGGACACCGGATACGATACTTGTATCAAATATCGACGCTGATACAAAAAAACTGTTTGGATATCAGTTTCTAAATATTGTTTCATTCGATATCGGCTGGTTGGACATATAAATTGATGTACTAAGACTATTAACTCGTCATAATTGGCCCAGAAAGTCTCACAGTGTTAGAATTTTTATCGATAAAAAGCTGTTCTGAAGTTACTTGAGAGGAAAAAAAAAAAGCATTTGAATCATTTTGTCATATTTTATTTTTGTTTAAAGGAAATAAATGCTGTTTTCAGTCTCTGCAAGGGTATCGGTACATGTCAGGTATCGGAAAATACTTTTAAAAATTGTATCGGAATCGGTATCGAAACTAAAAAAGCTCTGTGCATCTGTAGAATAAATGGAAGCTAGAAAAGTTTAATGCCATATTGAGGGATGTTTCAGGCAAAGCAAAAACACCTCCATAGGGTAAGGTTGGACAGTATCCAAATGTTGATACTGTTAAACCTTCTCAGGATTTTACCGGGGTATACAGTATTACAGTATTACCAAAATGTTTTAGTACGACTTTGGTAAGCTACGAATCCGCACTGCTATACGGTCTACGTGTGTGACCTGCAGGTTTATAATCTCTAAAAACGTTTCACATGAACCATCTCCGGCTCGATACACACACAGAACATAGTCACTGTCAGCAGCACATCCTCTGTCACAGAAAAAACACTCATATTCCACTGAGTCGTGTCCTTTAGTCCTGAAGCCAAAATGCTGCCAAACTGCAGAAGTACTAGTTTTTTGGGGGGTTTTCTGGAACAACTCGCTTGCGATCGGACTTGCCGTCTTGTCTTGGTCTCCTTTATGAGCATCACGTGACAACGGAATCAAAACTAATCGAACGTCATTTCCCCATGTAGTTAAAAGAAACATTATAGACACTATTAGTTTTAAATCATGATCACATTAAATTGAAAATACAACCATATATTCATTTGTGCTGAGCAAACTAATTGAGGTATCAATAAATTATAATATTATATTCGGTCCTTATGCAATGCAAATTTATTTGAATGACGGTCATGAAACTGATACCGTTGCACCTTTTTGATAGCGCAGGATCCCGTAATACTGCATTACCGCCCAACCATACCATAGGGACAGGAAGACGACTGACCCTCAACGAGAAGACGCTTACTTACAGCCCCTTTGGTTGGTTTTCAAGATTAGAAATTCAAGAATTTATTGTTATGGTCATAGAAACCAACGACATTAGGTTTAGAAAATCAAACACTGCACAGAAGCACAATACACTGCTGTAGAGATATACAAAGATAAAATATAATATTGAAACTACTACTACTACTACTACTACTACTTTAATACTTTAATACGTCATTGCTCTGCCTGGAATGTTCCACAGTATGACATTAAACAGCTCTATATTTTGTTTATTCAATTACAAAAAAAAAGAAAAAAAAAAGTATATGCTATAGAGATATACAAAAATAAACTATAATATTCAAAACACCACCATGGGGACAAGAAGGTGACTAACCCTTCATGAGAAGAAACGCTTACTTACAGCCCCTTTGGTTGGTTTTCAAGATAAAAATTCAAGAATTTATTGTTATCGTCATAGAAACCAACGACATTAGGTTTAGAAAATCAATCACTGCATAGAAGCACGATGTATTTATCAGATAAAGATGTACAAAAATAAACGATAATATTGAAACTACTTTAAAAAAAGGTCCGTCACCTGCTTGTTTCTATGGATACGTCATTGCTCTGCCTGGAATGTTCCACAGTGTGACATTAAACAGCTCTACCTTACATTTATTCAATTACAAAAACGAAAATAGCCTAGAAAAACAGATATTCGACTGTGATGGGGGTCGCCTCTCCACGGATCTGACCTGTAACTTGGTCCGGTTCGGTCTCAGTGAAGATAAAACGGTTTAATGCCACACTGTGAAACATTCCAGACCAAAACAATAACATAAATCGGCCTAAACCGCAACAAATAATAAGCAGAATGAAGTAATTAGAACTATAAAAGGTACTGATTCAAACTCAAACTGACTCTACAGCTCAAATTTTAACAAAAATACCCCAAAACTTCCTCATTACTGCAAAGAAATTGTACACACAAGCCCCAAAAATACAAAAATATAGTTTGAGCTTTCATATATTAAGATAAGTCAGTATAATTATCGTGACAGGCCTAAGGTTGCTGCTTTTACTTTATGTATTTAGACCGTGAAGTTTTCCAAAGATAATTAAAGGTCCAGGACTCCCATAACTGTGACTAGCGTTGTGTGCATAGACGAGCGGAGAGGGAGGGGCCATGCCTGGTCACTTTGTCATTATTAGCCCTTGGAGTGGTGATGATGATTAATTCACTAGGACGCTGGCAGCTTTCCACAAGAATCCGCTTGGTTTGTTTTTAACTCTCTTGACCTCCTCTAGTCTTTCTGTTTCAACGTTTATTTTGGGGGCGTCCATTTTTGCCTTGCATGGTAAAAACGCTTGTTACACTCACGGTCGTCACCCTAAAATGTGAAAACCTTAAATGAACTTGCAGCTGCGGAGTTTCTGGTTTGTATTTAAAGGCTGTGTTACGCAAAATGGACTCTTGTGAGTTTTAAGTCATGTTATAATGTTGTTGCGTCATCGAAAAACAGACCTGGAGTTGTGTTTTGTTTCGTTCACACGTTTGAGTAAGACTTTATCAATAGTCTGTCAACAGATACATCTCCAAAGCTCAAAATGCTCTGTTCCACTTTGTGATATCACGAAGCAAATACTAGATCGAGTGTCCCCCTGGCTTGAAAGTCCCAGCTTGATCGTCCCATTCTCTTGGTGGGAACGTCCCCCTCCTCACTCCTGCATCTTCATCTCTGGGCAACAAATGGGTAAGTGCTGTGCCCAGAGAGGTTGGACATTCTCACCAGCCTATAGTATGTGCTGTATTGAGTTAGAAAATCAGTATTTTACATTATAATAAAATGAAATGTGAATGTAGCGAGACCAAATGTCGGCCCTTGTTTATGTCATAATAAAATCCTAATCATTTGCTAGCAGAAGTTTACTATGAAATCATATTTTAAATACATTTTTCTTGGTTTCTTGGTCAGTTCCTATTGATTTGGGAAGAAATATTTCCTTACATAATTTGTAAGCAGTGCAACACAAGAAACTTTGAAAACTACAGAATTTGTTCAAAAACCATTCAGAATCACTTTTCAGATATACTGTAACTTGTACATTGTAACTTGAGTTGTGATTAATACAATATACCTAGTCAAAAAAAATGTTCTGTTTTTTTATTTATTTACATGTATACAGATTAACTTATTTAGTTTCATAAAGGGTACAATTCAGGTAGCCTGATTCATCAGTTGGTTTCACTTTGTGGAAACCGTCTGACCTCTCAGCATTAGGATTTGTTCGCTGGAAGGTAGGTGGGAACTTTTTTAATTTAATCAATCGCTGCTATTTGGTCGTGAGGTATTTAATGTGCCGGAATGCAAACAAAGCAGAGAGTGAACATGTCTGTCAACTATTATTGTCATTTCTGCGAGGTGAACTTACGAATTAAAGGTGCAATAAAAAATGCGAAGTTTGTATTTGACAAAGGAAGTCCAAATGAGGATAGCGTATGCAGTCTGTTATCACAACTCGGGTTGGTTCAGCTCTTTGCTGATTGGCCAGTGCACTGGTCTACAACAAGGGTGTCAAACTAATTTTGGTCCGGGGGCTGTATCCAAAAGACTTTGATCCTAAAGGGGCTGGATCAGAAAACTCATGGCATATAAACCCCAAAAACAGCAATAAGTTAAAATATTTGTGCAGAGAAACGCAAATCTATTTCACAAAT